CCCTTGGCTCTAACACAACAGTACAAGTTCATAAACATATACGCCACAAGGCTTGCCTGAACAATTATAGTGATGATGCTTCACAGATCCATCAAATGGTGTACATGATGTTTTTATTTTTATTTTATTTTTAATAATATTCATAATTATTTTATATTTATATTTTTGCATCTGTTTGCAATTAGTAGTAGTAGTAGTAGTAGTAGTGTGTGTGTGTGTGTGTGTGTGTGTATATATATATATATGTGTGTGTATATGTATATTTTTTTATATACATATATAAAAGATTTTTATTTTGATACTATATTTATTAATTTATTAATACTGATAATAATATTATAATATACATTTTTTTTATCATAAATTGTGTATGATTTGTATGTTAATTCTACATTTATTTTATATGAATTCATTAATGTTATTTAATAATTTAAAATAAAAAATTGTGTTAATTTTACATTTATTTTTATTATTAATTGTATTAATATTTTCTTTCATTTCATTTACTTTAATAAAAAAGTAAAAAAAAATGTTTTATTTTAATAATTTATTAATTTATAATTAATTTGATAACTAATTACATATGTTTTTATAAATTATACTTCATTTATAAATAATAATTTATTATATTAATTTTATTAAATTAATTATCATTGATTATCATTATATGATTGATTGATATTTATGACTAAATGTAAGATTATAATCCATCTTTGGCGATGACTAGTTTTTTCATGGACACATGAAACTTGCTGAACCCATCATTAAGCACTGACCATGTTTCAAAACAAAGCTGCTGTTTTTTTACCCTGAGAGGAAGTTTGTTTAACAGCATGAAGAACTCTGAAAACACTACTGTAAAGCCATTCATTACATTCTGACACACACACACACGTAGTAAAATCAGTAACCCACTGGTCATTATCCCCTCATGTCATCTGCAGTAATTAGATCCTCTTACAGCGTCCCTTTAACAATCCTCCAGTTACAGGGCTTCTCGCAACCTTGCTTTCCCACATTAATTACCATAGCATACAATTAGCAACCCACCTTCCATGCCAATGATTCCCAATCCCAATCAATTTCCGATTCTCAATGGTTCATCAGAGCCCACAGGAATTGTGGCTTAGGAAACAGTTGCCTGGATAATGTTGAGCTGAGGCTGGATTAGTTTGCTGATTTGGTATTAGTGGTGTCAGGAGCTCTTATCTTCACACAAACATCCACAGACTCTGTTTATCATGCTTTTGTCCCCCACATATATTTGTGCTGAAACTTGTTCAATACTAATAGGGTTTCTAAGTATCCTGGGATGCCAAGAGCACTGCTTTAACCTATTGATGTGTGCTGGGTAGCGTGTAGACTTGCATATCACTGATTATGGGTACCGTGCTACGTTTGCCAGTGCATTACTCAGTAGGCCTACTCATTCTCACTTGGATTCGATCAGCGAGCTTATTCTCTTCAGTATTAGGAATTGCATGTGATTTTGTCTTTATTACAAGACAAGCCCACACTCATTAAACCCTGTATCAGAAACACATCCATAACTCTCAGCAGACTTAAGATTAGCCTTTTTATTGGTATTTCATCAGACTGTATTGGAAATTCATTCACAAGGCTGCCTGCAGTGTTTAGTTCCTTGTTTTTTATGCAACAGATCATTTTGGACAAAATAGAAGGCTTGATATTTAAAGAGATCATGTCCATGTTCATCCAAAAATGTTCAAATGTACTCACCCTTGTGTTATTTTTAAGGCCCGTTCACACCAAGGACGATAACTATAAAGATAACATATCTTTATCTCTATAGTATCGTTCTTGGTGTGAACGGGCCTTTATCCTGTATGACTCTCTTTCTTCTGGTTATCATTGACTTCCACTGTGTGGACAAAAATACTGAGACATTTCTTCTTTTGTGTTTTACAGAATGGATAAAGTCAGCTAGTTTTGGACAACATCAAGGTTGAGCAAATGATGACAAAATATTCATTTTTGGATGAACTGTTTCTTTAAAGTCCTGGAGCCTTTGATTGCCAGGGGCCTGGAAATGTAAAATGTATATTTGAGGTTGCAATAAATAATTCTGCAGTATAAATAACGTGTTATGTTTTGTAATTTTATTTATTATATTTTGAAAATTACATCACAAACATTTGAAATAACCGCAGCACTGTACCTCACAACTTAAATCAAGTAGGTTTTTAAAATGTACAAAATGTAATGTTTGAATTATGAGAAGCTATACTTGTAGTTCATAGTTTTCATTCATTTAAAATGTTTGTTTTGACTGTCCCCCCCCCCCCCCTTTTTTCTTATTATTTACTTTTTTGCCTTTTTCTTATTATTTTCTTTCAGAAAAACCATGTGGGCATGGTATACTAATAATAATTAAACAGTAAAATAAAATTAAAAGTTGCCATAACATAGTCAGCAGCACCCAGACCTAAACTAGCAGTGAAAACCATTGCTGAAAAACTTTCCTGAATGTGTATATTTACGAATGTGGGCGATGATTAATGTTTTTGGAGAGGTTGGGACAACTGCCAAATACAAAGTGCTTTTCTATACATAAAAAGCAAAAATCACTAAGAGGACTAAGGGTGAGGAGAAAAAAAAACAGGAAAGAGACAAAAGAGAGAACATATTGTTATTTTCAACAGACAGGGTATATGTCTCATATCTCATTTGTAAGCACCCACTTTTACACCTACATGATGCACACACACACACACACACACACAACAGTGCGGTAAACACACATTCTACGATGCGCAAGAGGTACAAGTATCTGCAATGTGTAAAAAATAAACCTCTTGGACAATGTCTGAAAATTTCCTTTCCCAATGAATATTAATTGACAGTGGCACCCATATAAACATACATGTGGGCTACAGACACGTACACAGCGTTACTCACAACACTTCAGCTATTTCGAGGCATTTCAGTCTATACTATCTGCAGGTATCTGTGTAGTGCCTTTGTCCTTTGAACCACAAATACCTTTTGCCCTATAAGCACCATTCAAAGCAAATGGCTATATAGGTATGGTTTAGCTGTCTGAAGGAAGAAAATGAGTATGAATAACATGAAAGAAAAACAAGGAATGAACTTCAGAAACACATTCAGAGTCCTTTAGTGTGATTCTTTTGCATAATAAGATATTTTCAATACGTTCATCTGCTGAATCTGTTTTTTTTATTGGTCACTATTCATTTTTGACAACAGAAATGCTTTATGTAACCCCTTTGTTGTCTGTCTTTGTTTTACATTTGCCAAGATTCTTTTAAAATCTGTACAATTCATGTAAATCCTATTTCAATTATGTTATGTCAGGAAATCGCAAGCACTTAAAGTCTTTTTGAAAAATCATCGGGTCTAATCCCTTATTATATCAACTTATTCATGTTTTGCCTGTAATAATAAATCCACTGCGATTGAGTCTGTGCTTTTGGACTGAAATGAAACAGTGTTTGCTAATGCAATCAGCGAGCATCTCTTATTACCTAGGCAGCTGGCCTTTTATGTATCAGGTGACATTATCTTATGCCAAAGGACGGCACTGTATCAAAAGAAGAAAAAGACGTGGTGATTTCTGGATGAGTGGCTCTGTGACGTGAAATCAAACATATTCTAAAACCTTTCAAAATGATTTCATTTTAAAAGTATTATAATGAAATTACCAGTTGGCTTGTTGTCAGGGTTGGGGAGTAACTAGTTACATGTAACGTAATTACCTAATTTAATTACAAAATAAAAGTAACTGTAATCAGTTACAGTTACTGAGAAAAAATTTGTAATTAAATTACAGTTACTTATGAAAATGTTAAGGATTACAAATGGGGTTACATCAGATTTTTTCACACACGAAAACATTAGAAATTTAGAAAAGTAATCAAAAAGTAATCAAATGTAATCAGTTACATTACTTTAATAAAGTAATTGAAAAGTTACACTACTTATTACATTTTAAGTAGGGTAACTTGTAATCTGTAACCTATTACATTTCTAAAGTAACCTTCCCAACACTGCTTGTTGTGAGATGAAGTGATGGTAACCTTGCAAACATTTCCAAGCCAGAACAAAGGTTATAAGAGGGAGACCTGGGCTTCAAGATGTCCTTTGAACAAACAGGGAACTTTTTACAATTTCCTGGAAAGATAGGCAAACACGATGACTTATTCAACATGCGGACAACTGAACCTGCGTAATCCTGTTCAAATAAAGAAGACAAGGGGCAGGGCAAATCAAAAATGTCAAAAATAAAATAAATAATAATAAAAAATAAATCTTAACAGAATGAAAAAGAAGACAATACAGCAGGGAGGGAAAAAGTTTTGGGGCTTGAAAAAAGAGAATAATAGAAATGCTGAATACTGAAGGGCATGCTGGATCAGAGACTTACTGGTAGAAAAATAATACAGATGCTGGTAAAAATAAAAACAACTAAGGCGAAGAATATTTTACATCAAATTTAATCTAATCTATCCTTATCCTATAACTTAGCCATGTGGTGCATGACCATATATAATATAATATAATATAATATAATATAATATAATATAATATAATATAATATAATATCTATAAAGTCTCTTGTGCTCAACAATATTTGTTTGATCAAAAATACAGTATTATTATTAAAATATTATTACAATTTAAAATGACTGTTTTCTATTTTAATATA